ACACTAGTTTTGCCCTCAAAAGTGAAAGCCTCCAGGTTCGGCTGTAATTCTAAATCATAGTGCGTTGGCACAACATTGGTTGGGAGACGCTTAAACTCCTTCTGACTCGATGTTGACATTTTTCTGTGAAATTGATTTCTATGACCAGCTACGTAATTTAGACCAACGTCGGCGGATGTGCGTGAAATAACTAAACCGTACTTCTGGCACAGATCACCCAATAGTGGCGCTTCTGTGTATTTAAGTGGTGCTCCAAAAGATGCGTTAGAGTAGTCGCGGTAGAATTGTTTTTGCTGTTTTACGTACTGCTTAGACGATATAGCACTATCCAGGTGTTCAGACAAATGACAATTTTCTGTGCATAAAAAATTTTCAATTGGTGATAGCTGAGCACAATTTATTTTTGGAGACACAACAGAAGGCAGCTGGGATTGTTTTGAAGCAATTACGACAACAGCGATTGCAGTTAATTCGCGATAACAACGATATGAATACAAACGTGAACGCAACTCAATTGCAAATTTTTGCTTAATTTGCGGCTGTGACTGCTGTATTCGTTGGCGTTGCAAAGCAATTTTTATGCGGTGTCGCTTTTGGATGAATCGCGTCGAGCTAACGGGACAATTGCAACTGACAGCTGGAATGGGCATGCAAAAGGAAACATAAAAAGATGTTAGTGGATTAGTGTTGCCAGCGCAAAATATTAGTACGATCTCCCACTGGAATAGCTTTGGCGATTGGTTTCTGTGGCCAATGGAAAATGGAACTTTCCTAAATAGAACAACAAAAAACGAGTTCGCATTTCATTCGCATTTTGTTTTTATGTACATACATTGGTTAACATTTGAATGGTTATCTTTTGAATAAGGAACTCAAATATAAATATAATAAAGTATATGGCTTTGAAGCTGGTTTTATCAATTACAAGCAACAAGAAAACTGTAAGGAAGTATTGTTTTACCTTTCAATAAATGCTGCGTGAACTCTGTATTTGCCTTTGCCAAATCAAGGCGTAATTTGCCCAATTCTATAATACATAATTAAAAACGCACAATTTAGATTAGACATTTTTGTTCTTAATAAAAACCAGTGACTACCGAGTTTAATACAATAAATTAGCTCGTTTCTCAACGTTCAGTGCTCGATTTGGATTGCATGAAAAATGTGAAGCACGCGACTTTGTCAAACAGCAAAGTAAAAATAGCAACAACTATTCCTATAAGAACTACCCTATCGAGATGATTTTTATTGGAGTGATGAATTGGAATACCGATTACCGTTTTTGAATT